TAGTATTTGAAAATCTGCGATTTGAGTTATGACATGTAACTCTATTTATGCATGACGCTAAAAATATGTGATAAAACACATATTGAATACTGTGAACATAATTCGTATGGATACGATTCACGCACTCTATATTTGTCTTTAATGTATCAAAAAATACGATAATAAAGCATATCTAAGAGGAAAAAGTCACTGATTATTATCTAATCTGGTTTCCATTTAAACATATACTTACATACAATGGTTTCTTACAAAAAAAACTAACTTGTTTATTTTTTGGATTTTCCGTTTCAAGTGCAAAACCATTCAATTGCTATTTACTCAAAAAAGTTTATTTCTTAGACACTGTAAGAGTACTGAAATAAATCTACACAATATATACAGGATGAGTCTTCTTCTTCTTAAGGTGCCGTGCAGATTCCTGCGTAGGCGTTCATCTTTTTCTTCCTCATCAGATGGTTCTCTTAACTGCCGCGACTTGGAGTGCTTGGAAGTCCTGTATGCCTGTCCAATGACGAATATTTCTCAGCCAGGATAGCTTCCTTCGTCCTATTTCCCTTTTGCCCCCCTCTATTTTACCCTGGAGAATCAGACGCTGAAAGTGATAGCGTTCTCCACGCAGGATGAGTCTTAAGTAAATGCAAATACATATTTACAGAGCTAATAGATCGCGATAAAAGAAGCATATTTCCTCTTTATCTTTTTTCAAATAACTCGAAAATAACCGAGCTTTTTTAATTTCAAAATAAAAAAGAAAATATATTTTTTGCTTAAATTTTGAGAACCACTGAATTTTTTCTCTGTTTCTTTCTTCTAAATTTAATCTACTGCCTATGTTGTCACAATATTTAAATATTATGTTTTTCAACCAAGAGTTAAAAAAATTTCAAAGTTTTTTTCGAAAAACACCAAATTTTCAAAAAAAAAATTGAATAGGCCTGTTTCTGCGGTCGAATATACAGGGTAAGTCTTAAGTAAGCGCAAATATTTTAGGAGTAATATATTTCGAAATACGATTATGAGTTTTTTTTCGCAAAAAAATGAATTTTGTGAAAAAAAAAATCGATTTTTTTTTTAGTTTTTAGTTAAGAAACATAATTTCTTGATAATATGGCGACATAGGTAGTGGACTGAATGTACAATAAGGAGAAGAGGTATTTTCGAAATATAAAATTTAATTTTCTAGATTTATCTTTTAGTGGTGACTGTTTTAAAAAAAATGAAGCGGTGGTTACCAAATTTGTAGACATTCATTTCAATTATTATTGTTTTATTGAATAGCTGTCTCAGAAAACATCACTGTCGCACTACTTAAAACAAATACTCGTCTAAATTCATTCGGCCATCGATCCCACACCGCCCCACAATGCACACTCCGTCCATCCATTCCGATTAAGCAGTTTCCAAATTAACCGATGTTTGTGGTCAAGTGGGATTGGCCTGCGCTAAGACTCGAACCGATCGCGACACTTGTCGAAGCGAAACGATCGCCAAAGCTGCGGCGATCTAATCAAAGACGAGACAAGTGCGAAACGATCCGAGTACAGAACGTCATAAACGTAATGTTTTAGTTAATTTTAGGTGGTTTTTGTTGAAAGTTTTCATTGAAAGGGTAAGTACTAAAAATAATTAATGTGTTTTTTTTCTATAATTATTAATAATGAGCACTGATAAAAGATTAAATTTAACATTCCTAATTTTTTGAGTAGAAATTTGTCTATGAATTAATAAATGTAGAACTATGTAGAATATGGATAACATAGGAAGTTGCAACACTGCGAGGTTTAGATAGACCGTAGGGAAATCTCAGGTGAATAAACTAGTGGCACTAAAAAGTTGCACTAAAAAGTTTTATCAAATTTCCCGGAAAATGTCAAGAAAAATTTTAAATTTTCACCATTTTTTTTGCAAAAAAAACCTCATAGGCGTGTTTCTGGGGTTGAATTATACTACCAGTTAAAATATTTGCACTTATTTCTGGGACACCCTGTATATAAGAGCGTTTCTAAATTATTAAACCTAAACTTAAATTCTAAAGCTTCATTCAGAACCTCCCAATTAGTGGAATAAATTAGGAGTTTCAATTACACTTTATACTTTTTAGTTTAGGACCATTCACAATGTCTATAAAACACAATTCAGATTAATAGATTATCCTATCTTTCAGTGATGATAACAGCTTTCAGTGATCAGTTGTATCCATAAAGAACTTGTAATCCACCACAAGGCCGGCTTACTAAAATTATTATTAAATTCTAAAAATTAAGGTTAACTTCTAAATATACTGTTTTTGATTAAATCTTTTTTGCACAACTTTTAGCACTTCATGCAGACATCAGATTTTTTACCACTACTTTATTCTAAAAAATAATTATTTAATATAAAGAAGAAAAAAATATAATAAAAATTATTTATTATATTATGTATGGCAATACGTAAGAAGTTATTACAGCGTCATTTTGTTTTCTGATGGGATTTTTTTATTTTCTGTAATATATATCTATCTGTCCAATAAGACCAAAAGTCGTTAAAAGAACAGAAGATATATAAATCTAGTTATATGTGTCTAGACGAATTTTATTACATTTTTTAAAGATTTTATTTACAGTATGCCATATTCTTTTTTTAGAGCCTTCACAAAAGACCTAAATTTTAAAGATACAAAAAAAAACTAAAAAATTAAACTCTTAATTAATAACAAAAATATTGACAAAATAATAGGTAAAAGTTTCTAATAAAATTTTCTGCCAGATAAGCAAATCTATATGTCTCACTAATTTTGTTGAAAGTGTTCCCTTTTTCTGTTTTTATCCATATAGCATTAAATTATAAATTACTTTAATACTTAAAAAACAAAACAATTTAAAAATAATACAGAGACGTTTTAAGATAAACATAATTTTTAAAAATCTCTTAAACGAGTAATTCTAAAAATAATTTTATTTATTTTTCCTTCCATCAACTTAAAAAGTTTGTTGAGTAGTTCGCAGCCAAATATCTGAAAAGTTAGATTCCCGCAAAGTTATGGCCGAAAATTAACTGTTGAAATTCTTTCGGTCTAATTTTTTTTCGGGATTTTCTTTTCAGTTTGGTGTTTTTTCCGGAAAATTTTACGGAATGTTAACTTCTCAAGTATCGGAGTTTATTTCGGCGTTACGCTCTTGTTTTATTTTTCGTTTTCCAGAATTTTATTATTTAGTACTTAAAACCGCTTTTCTGCTTATTAAGAATATCGTCAAAGAAAAAAAAA